ACTCCCCAGAGGCCAGATGGAAATGCTGCAGGGCCCCCAGCACGCGCTGGCAGACACCCTGAGCTCTAGTCGGGACAGTGATTGTGATTTAGCTGAGGCTACAAAGTAAGGCCAAATTAAAGGCTACTGAAGTCAGGATGTCAGTGACTGCACTAGTGTCCAGAGATACAGCAAAATATCGAGTCACTCATGCGCAGTTGAAAAATTAAAGACTATCTAGACTTTTAAGGGAAGAAAAATCATTAAGAAAACAACTGAATGATTTATTGGTGAATTACTTTTCTGCTCATTCTGAACAAATAAGTAATTAGTACAAAAATGAACGATCGGGTCAATCTGATAGAAACCCTGCTTCTTGTTCTGAAACATTTTAAGGAGAGAATAGAATTTATTTTTATTTTTTGAATTTTTAGTTGACCTTCTGTACACTGAGTGTAATTTGCATGTTATTTTAACCCATATTTGTACCTACAGTATTATTATTACATATTCATATTGTAGGAAACACAGTATAGGCTTTGCAGTTGACAAAACTTGTGTTTTTTATTCATTTTATAAAGTTTGCAGTTTGCAGTTAACATTTTCACTGAGTGTGCTCACATCTCCTAAAACCATGTGTGTAAATGTGTGTTTAGACTGATTGTGCATTTGTTGCAAAAGTAGAATGCTGAATATGTAAATGTACTTCAACAGGATTTTTAAAAATATGTTAACTGCAGAAAAACCATTTCCCAAAAGTTTTCCTTTAAAAAAATGTTTGCTAATTTATTCTTTATGTATCCAGTCAAGCATAGCTGTCTTCTTACATGCTGGATTGCTGAATACAATTATTGAGGTTCTTGGAGCACAAGCTGATGTTCCTTATCCCAAAGGGCTAAGTGAGTAGCGCCCTTGTGATTTTCACATGATAGTGTACAACTTCTTTTGATTACGTTAACATATGAAGGAGCAATGCACAATATTTTGTTGTTTTGTTGGGGGGTTGTTTTTTTTTCGAAAATAAGTGAAAAAAAAGCCAAAGAATTTTAATAATTTTACAAAATTTGTAAAGTTTACAAAAAAATTACAAAAACTTTGCAAAATCAGACTCAGGCAAACGTAGTTTCTGACTTTATTTATCTTCATACTTTACTACAAACAGGTTTAATAATTGATATTATTCCTCCAGAGAACTGAAGTGATTGAGCTTAGTCACTCACAGGGTCTTGTTTCGAGTTCTCTTTCTTTCTGCTGTTGACCCACTTTTACCCAAAGAAGCAAAGGAAGAATCTGAGGGGAGGGTACCACAAGAAACTGTTTTATGTAAATGCAGAGAAAAAAAATCTTCTGTAGCCATGACAACAGTCTCCCGAGTGGATTTTTTCCACCAGGCAAACCTCTGGATCCTGTGCACTTAAGAAGTATGTTTCAAAAAGAAAACCTGAGAAGCTTTTTAAAGAATGATTTATAATTTATTTGTATTTTTCTCCTACATCAGAGCCTCTTGAAGGAGTGTCCTGTGTGAGATGTGTTCTCAATCTGTCAGGCCACAGCAGCTGTGTTCCCCACATCTATTTGTTCTCAATGAGCTTTACTCTATTTAATATATATACCCAGCTGTTCTGTGTCACAGGACCGTATTCAAAATCTCTTACATGCACTTTATAAAAAGTCACATTGACAAGCAAGAGCTCTTTGGAGTTGCATCAGTAAGGTCCCTCGAAAGAACACTTTTTTTCCTGTATACCTGTTGGTTTTAATGGTGTAAACATTCTTCATATTCCAGTTCATTTTACATCAGAGGCAGTGCTCCAGTGGTGCACATCTTCTAAATGGCAGACTAACGCTTTTTAAACATAACTGCAATTAATTTGAGCCTTTATAAGAAGTCATGAAATGTAACCTATTTTTAACTTTTTTGTTATAAAGCAGGCAGCACACGGCAGGATTCCCTGCTCTTGCATCACCACCAACAAACCCCGTTTTAGTCAAGTGCACTGTTAGATGCTGGTAACTAGGGTGTCAAAAAAAGTAAGAAGGCAGAAGTAAAAAAAGAAAAAAGAAATGTGTCTGTAGAGAAATACTGTACAAATTATGAATAAAGATGAATGACAAGATTCTCCAGAAGTTAAGCCAAAATTTTCAGACATCCCTGTGGCTCAGTGTAGGTTATAAAACCTATATCCTTATTTAATACTATGAAGTTTGATTTGTTTTTAAGTAAGCTAAGCTTGAATGATAACTTTATTAGTACGCTAAAGTTTAGCCATAGATAAGAACACAACCAGTCCAGATTATTTTAGATTTCATGTGAACTACCAGTTATTAGTTAATATTATTATTACTTATCTCAAAAGATTTATTTTAACCCAAATTTTACAGTGAACATAGAGCAAGCATACCTCAAGAATCCGCAACAGTCCAGAATAAGATTCAGCCCAATTTCCGTCATATTTTGGATTTACTTTGCTTCGCTGTCCTTCTGAAGTCATAAACACTGGCATTATTGACCTTTAAAATGAATGCAAATACCTTGATAACTAACAGTTGCTTTAAAACTTTAAGCAACTGTGTTGCCTAGCAAATATCTAATACGGAGTCAGTTTTTATCTAAAGACTCTAGTAACTCTTTAAGGTCTTTACCTGTTAAAAGTTAAGCAGGATGTTCACAATGTCTACAATACATGCCTAAATAAACTGATCTGCTCCCATGTGATTGGCTGATGTGATCATGCACTTCATACTCTGATCATGGTAGAACCAGGATGACAAAGACACCTTAAGTTAGACATTATTTAAAAAGATATATTCTGCTACAAAGTACGCTCTTTCTGTTGTATAGCAGCTTTCTTTTAGCTAAAGATACATTAGCTAATAAAATAGTAATAAAGCTGTTTTTTGATTTTCTAAAACAAATAGCTTATCTTTTCCACAATGACTTTCAAACTTTCAGAGGTGGGGTCCTCTTGATCTCAAGGGTCCACAGACAATTCCATTAATACACATGAAAATCTGCAGTGACTGTTCAAAGTTCTTGGTCTATCATTTACAGAATTTGTTTAGTTATTATTTTAGTTTATATTTTAGTAATAGGAGCCTTAATGTTACTATAGATTAGGAACTTGCATATTAAAGGAAAGAAGAAACACAGATATATGCTCCTTAGTCTTACAGTACCAAAGGGCTCAATAATGCAAATCTAATCCATTGGTTTTCCTTTGTTAACGAGAATGAAAACAATGATCATGTAATGTTAATGCAGCTAAAGGGACTCCCTCTGTGCCATTATTAAAACATTTCAATTATTAAGTGTCTAATGGTCACTGTAAATGTACCTCCTGTGAGTGTGACAAGACCTACCCAGTGGTTTCATTGGAGAGATCCCAAAAGCAATTTACTTCTTAGGATGTCTTCTGAAAGTGATGGGACACTTACAGACAGTCTAATTAACTAGGTAAATGTACTTTCTCATGGATGCCTATACTAATACTTTAGTTTCATCACTGGACAGTGCTGTTCAGGGTTGAGTTGGAAATTGAACCATATGAGTTATCGCTTCTTTTACATGGCTGGTTGAGCTGGAAGGAGTTTAGGTTAGAGGCAGAGTACCTCCACTTGAGACATTAACACAAAGGCAGCTGTATCAGATAGAGGCCAAACCAGGGTTTGGCACCCATATTCAACTGGATTCTTTTGTGTGTGTCAGGAGCCAAGCGGATCATTATTTATTTACTTGTTCCCCGGCATGCGATAGGCATTGTTGTTTTTGTGAAGTAGACTGATGTGATGAGTCTGGTAATGTCTAATAAGTTGCAGATTCAGGTTATCACATTACATGTCAGCTGTTTAAAAAAAAACACAGTTGGCTGCTGAAGCTTTTTTTTTTCCAGACATTTTTTTCTTACTAAGCTCAATTCATGCCATTTTTTTTCTCAAGTGACAATGCTTGAATTGTGCAGCTCTGTATTGTTTATTGTTTAGGTACAATGTATCCATGATTATTTAATGTGTGAGTCTTATTTAAGAAATTGAAACAGTTAAGGCTACATGGAGCAACTATTGCAAAATAGCTTTTTTAAAATATATATATGAACTTAAGAAATGTATAAAGTAACTTCTTTGTTACTTATAGTTACAGTTATAGTTACTTATAGCTACATATAGCTTTCAAATAGTTCGATAGTTTATCTTCTGAATTAATGATTCCAGCTTTAAGACAATAAAGTTATTCTATTTATTTCTAAATTTCACATTTTGAATGCGCCCTACTCACTACATCGACACTTATTTGGTCTAAGATGAACACTTTTCTACCATCTATGTCCATGAGACTAGTCTGTGGTTTGTTACTCTGTATTCTTTGCTCTTCAAAAAGAGAGAAAGATCGAGATTTCTTAGAAATTAAAACTGATATTAACCTTATTATCTTATTATTGTAATAATATATTGTAATGTGTAATAGATAGATACGGTCTCATTTATGAATTAATTTAAAAAGAATAGTAATACCAATCCTCAAAGTCCGTTTTGCAAATTAAATACTGAACTCTGAAAACTTGTGTCGATAGCGTAACTACAACCATAATTGTTATTAACAATTAAAACATTCTCTGGATACTTGTAAACATTTGACAAGCAACAAAATGTAACAGCAGTTTATCTTCTGAATTAATGATACGGGAGGGTAATTAGGGGGGATGTCTCCTCTCACGACACACTTACAGTGACTTCACCAATTAGTGGTTGTTGTGACAGGTCCAATGTTAATAACCTTAAATAATTAAAATTTTTCAAAATCATATGCAAATAAGAAGCTGACGCTAATGAAACAACGTGACAGTGGCGTGTGCAGCAAGAAGCGTGTGAAAAGAACATCTTTGATAAGAGTAATCACACAGTTCAATTATGTTTTATCCTGGTGAAGTATCTTTGGTACACCTTTCAATCATTTAACATCATAAATTCACAAGAGTCAGTGATCTAAGAGCAGTTAAAGAAATACTATCTTTTATTTTTTGCTATTTTCATTCAATTGACAACACCTTCATTTGGCAATGACTTCCTCCATATGAAGTTTACAAAAGTGTCTGTAAACATTAAAGTGCAAAGAATTTGCTCACCGTTTATGGCACATTTCTTTTAAAGGTTCATGCTACAAGCACTCCAGTCTAGTTCCATGTGAAGAGCTCAGTCAGTTACCGTTTCATTTCAACCACACAAATATACCCTACTAACAACTTCTGAAAACAAAACTGCTATTTAATAAATTTTGATGATGGTCCATGGTCTTTAAATCAAACAGGTGACAAAAAGGCAAAGGTAGAAAATTGGCTTTTCAATAGTTTAGCCAGTCTTACAGTATTTACCCTGTGGCTGTTTAAACAAAGAACAGCATAATTAATGTTTAAACTTGAAAATAAAACTGAAAAGAAACAGAACAACAACAAAAAGCAATAGAAAACACTCCTTTTACTGCTTGAAATTCTCAAGAGCAGTGTCTAAGATGGCAACACTGCTCAGCATTTATGTTTTTGTTCAGTATAGGCTTGAATGGCCCTTTGCTGGTTTTAATTCACGTAAAGTTCAGTGCATTTAGGACCTATTCAAAGTGAGAATTCCTGATGAAGAATGTGTCCAAAAACACATTAGATGCCCCTTTGATAGGGTGGTATTGTCTTTGTTGTGCTATATCTGGGGTTTTTTGGATTTCAAAAATCTATTAAGGAGAAACAGGGGAGGTTAGACAGGATGCCAAAGGGCCTAAAAATGATCATTTTTAATTTCTACTAATGACAGCTGAAAACAACAACTCAAGGAGCATCGCTGTTAGCTAGAAGCTAAGGCTTGAGCTTGCTCTGAATTGGCTAAGTCTCGATTTACTCAGTAACAGAGGAATCCAATTTTCAAATCTTGTGTGGTCCCTCTCATGAGGTTTGATCTGTCACAAAAGTTCAGATATATGCCAAATGGGATGGCAGTAAAAAATAAAAAGAGTAAAAGCTTCTGTTCCTGTGTAAATAACGCTTGCTTATGTATCAGACATATGCCCTAGAGGTGAGTCAGCTGGTCCCAGTAGCCGGTACTTCTCCTCCAGTGACGGCTCAGTGCTGCTGCCCTGCAGGTGGATCAGTGGCTTGGTCTGCAACAGCACACAACCCCTTCCCCGGCCCCGTCTCTCCTCTTGGTTCCTGCGATTGAAAATGTTTATTCTGTTGTCCAGTTCGGGGCTGGCATTTTCTGAGCCAGTTGGACTGGGAAGCTTGAGGTTGACAGGGTCTACTACTAGGCCCTTTTGAGCAAGGCAGGAGTCCTCAGAGAGGGAGGAGAGTAGCTCCTGCACCACCATGCTGGGGTCCTTGCAGGGGTCCTGGCCTGAGAAGGAAGGGGGGCAGCAGCGATGGGAGCTGTAGCTCAGACTGAAGTCCTGAGCTGCGCTGCTGCTGCAGTCTGTCATTGATGAACCCGGAGTATGGCTACTCAGGCTGTGGGGGCGGGCTGTGAGGCTGCCACTGGACCGTGATATGCTGGTGGAGGCATCACTTACAGCGCTGCCCACCCGCTCCATAGCAAGCATAGGATTTGACTGGATGACGTTTGTACTGGTGGGTAGGTGAACGTCAATGGCTGCTGTTGTGATGACCCGCGCACCTAAGCCAGAAGCCCCAGCATCTTGACAGACACGTGTTTAGAAAAAGTATATGCAGATAAAGACATCCATACAAATATGGCTTTTTTTATTTGCTACTGTCACTTACCGCTGCTTGCTTCACTGTAATATTGGCTGATGTAGTTGTTCATGTCATCACGTACAACTGGATCTGAGTTAAAAAATAGAGAATAAAACAATGACAGTTATTTTTGTTTCAGCTGATTTCTAAATTAAAATACTGAAACATGCATGAATATTTTTTTCAGAATCAATTTTTCTGGTTGCATTCTTACTTCCACTCATCCGTACTTTTTAACCATCCTCTTTATTTGTTTCTTTGGCTTGCTGTGCAACAGGAGATTCGTGGATGGTTAACTATGTGATGCTGTCATATCCCTACGGAAAAACATTTCCGAGAAATGTTTCCAACACCTTATTAAATCTATGTCACAAACAGGCGAATGAAATGCCAGTGAATGTATATCACAACTACAGCATGTGCATGTGTGTCTGCAAACCTCTGCATAGCACTAAACCAACCAATTGGATGCTGGGGCATGGATACGTCCAGTATATGTTAGGGCAAGTATATATAATCTATTTGCTAAAAGATGCCAGGCCCAGTTTTTCTTGCCTGTCATACAGTGTTTTGTATCCTCTCATGTATAGTTGACATGATAACTAAACAAACTAAACAAATCTAATTACTGTTGTTACTAACAGTACTGTAAACACTTTTTAACTATTATGAATATAAAATGGAATCAAAAGTATAATTATCTTACAGTAGTGTGAGATTAGGATTAAATATACTTTAACGGACACATCCTAATAATCATGTGTAAGTCACTGGGTTTGGATTACACACCTATTTGTCCAAACCTTGGTCCATGTCAATGTTCATAGTGCAAACTAGTCCAAATGGAAAATATCTTGTATGTTTACAACAGAATATTGACAGAGATGACTTCTGCCCCAGGCCACAGGTGCTTTATAGACAAGTGGCCTGGATCACGCACTGCTACATTTGTGCATTAGCCAAACCTTAGTGTACTAGGAATAAACTGGGACAGAGACAGGGTGGGGTTGGTTTCAGGGATTAGAGAAATGGGGGAGAGTGAGAGAGTCTAGGAGCTCTTTGTTCAGGCTCTGAGCCCTCCAGTCTAGCCTGCCTCAGTGTGCATGGTGAATAACTGTGATCTGCTGTGCTCTTCTGTTCGCTTGATTGGTCTTAAGCTCACTGTCCGCTGGCTGAGTGCGAACCCAGAGTACCCTGAGTGCTAGCCCCTGTCCCGCGGGACATGCTGCAGACTCTGATGGGTAATTTCATTTATTTTTCAGTCTAAAATATTAATCCCTGAGCCACCCCTGGAGAGGAAGCATTGCACTCACTAAAACAAGGCTGAGACAATCACTCCACAATTAATAACACATGAGTCTTAAGAAAAAAGAATGCGCAGTCCAGCATACATAAAGACTCTCCAATTCTTTCTGTGACAGTCAAGTTACCAAGTCGTCATCTCTGTGGAAAAGGAGAGGTGACATGCCGAGGTTCTTTTAGTTCAAACTACAACTATAAAATTATTTTAGCACACCAAGCAATAAACCACAGGTGAAATAGTTGGGACAGATCCTGGGAAACAGAACAATTATGGAAACTAATGGTGACATATAAAAATTTAAGATAACTTTAGATTTGGAACATATGACTTTTGATTTTATAACACAATGTTTCTGAAGAGTTAGTGTCCAACACTTGTCTATAGAGACCTTTTAGCCACGCTAACTAAAAGTGTCATTAGAGGGACAGCTTAGGTTGATTGCATTAAAGACAAAGTCAGAGAGGTAAGGCTAAATAAAGTGTATATAACAGACAAAGGACGGCGAAGATCAGTCGAAGACCACTGAGAAGATTCAAGGATGCAGTGACGGAGAACATCCAGAGGGTTGTTGTGACAGAAGAGGATGCTAGGGAAAGACTGAGATGGAAGCAGATGAGCTGCTCCAGTGACCCCAAAGCAGAACACCCGAAAGAAGTACAAGAAGAATTTAAAAGCGTCAGTCTGTCATCTGGACTCAACAACAGAATATCTGATATTTTGTGCATTTTTTGTGCTCAAGAAAGACATTAGTGGTCTCTATAAAATGGATACCAGTACATTAGGTGATTCCATGAGTTTTTATCTAATGTCATCACTGATATCAATTTGTTTGTAATGCTCGCCAGCCTCTTATTGTAACCTTATGGTAACCCTGGGAGGCAAACACTGAATTGGTGATACATTGTAACGTTATAAGTTTTTGACTTAAGAAAAGTTGAGTAAAGGTTTTTCCAGCATGTGTGTCATTTTGTTCCCATTTCCACCCATTTTCAGGTTTTTTTGCAATACTCAATTCAACCACAAGATGCCCACCTATCCTGTGATAGGAAAAAATATGCCTTCATGCATTTCATCCTGAAATTAAGGCAGGTCTTTATAAGGAAGGACATGTAGTGAATGAAACTGCATTAGACTTATTCTTTGAATGTTTGTCTTTCAGTCTCGGTTTGGTTAAGATTAGGTAACAAAATTGGGTTTGAAATAGAAAGACCTGTGCTCTTTTAATGTAATATCTAACTTAAGCATTTCTTTTAATAGTCACAGTAGGGTTTTTTTTTTAAATGCTCACTACAATCAAGAATGTTGATCCACCTTTTGTTTTACTGTTTCTGTACTATTGCAGCATTGAGAGTACATGTAGGTGTCAAAATCATCACACTCCTGATATATAGCTTATTCTTGCCTTTTATGAGCGCTTGGAGGTTTAATGGCTCTCCATGTGGAGGGTGAGAAGCCAGCTGAAACGTTGTGTGTAAAACAAATAAGCTTGAATTGAGTTCATCTGACTTGACTTGAGCTTTGTGGTCTAAGTGCTCATCCCAGTGACCATGTTTCTGTAAAAAGCCCCACTTGTTTCTGTGTGCCAGATTTCCCACTATGCCCTCGGGGTAATATTGTGGCCACCATGGAGCCTCTTGGTGTCCTATTGTGGTTTGCAGGTGAAGGGGAACAGATGTTGACAGGAGCCGACTCCCTACTAACAAGGCCCAATGCACAGAACACTCTGTACCTGAAACAGCCCAGTCAGTTTGGGATTGCTCCGCTGGCCTTGCCATGAGGGGGGCAGTAAGAGAGATAGTTGGGGCATGACAGAAGCCATGCAACCTGACGTAGTGTCAGTGAACATACTTGTTTTCTCCAGGATTCACCAGATGCTAAAAGCTTTTTTGCCCCCGCATTGATCCCAGAGCGCCTGCGGTCAGATGGGTATTGCATGTGAGCATGGAAGGGCTAAGAGCTTGGCCTCAAAGATGCTCCAGGGGTACTGCTCCAGATTAAGTGTACACTGCTCTGGCATTCGGTTCACCTGATGCTACCGTGTAACAGACTTTTTGTTCCACATAATTATGTACATACTTTATGTTGCACCTCTCTTCTGGTTTGTTACACTGTCTCCTCAAACAAAATTTGCACCTGGTAGGGTATATAACCAATCAATCCATTCATCCATCCATGCATGTCCAGTTCAGAGTCTAAGCATGGATGAGAATCAAGAACTGGTTTTTGTAGAGAACTGGTTCCCAGCAGTCCAATTCCTTGGAATCGTTAGTCTGCCTGCCTATTGATCCCACTTATCGGTTCTTGCATTCTCGCAACGATCAGCTGATTTCAGTTCGTAGTCAGAGATGAAAAATATTGGAGCAGTCTACAGCATGGAATGGACATTACTTTTAATTTTATTGCACAAAAGTATGAGAGAATGATGGTAAAGTGGAGACTGCTCCAGGACAAAAACAACTGCATCATACTGTTAACACAACTTCAGATCTTCACAAGCGCAGCGTGCTAACTCTAAGCTAGCCAAGAACCCAGAGTGATTTTAAAGCTTGGTGAGTGCTAAAGGTTTATATTGTTAATTGATAATTATAAGACAATGAGTTTCAGGTCATTTTACAGAATAAGATGAAAGTAACGTTAACGTAAGTCTTTCTCTTGGGTGTAATTAAGTAACATACTGCACAACTTTAAGAGGAGTGTTCTTTATAATATGCATAACAATTTTTTTACTTTATTTTACTTTTTTCGAGTAATGACCCCCAAAACTGATCAAAACAAAGAGGGAAAATACCTCCAGCATGCACAAACATTTGACTACACAGCATGGAATGTTCACCAGTCTGTTGCAGGGCAGATGAAAATACAACCATTGACACTAGCATTCATACCTAAAGCCAATTTAGAAGTCCCAATTATCCTAATATACATATCTTTGGACTGTGGGAAGAAGCCAGAGCCATGCTGGCACGGGGAGAACAAGGTCCACACAAAAATTCACCAGCCAGCCTGTGATTTCAGATCTTTTTGCTATGAAGCAACAGTGCTAACCACTGTGCTATTTTTTGAAGTTACAGATTTTAGTCTTTGATTCAGTCATTTTCAGTTTTTTAATTTATCTTTTATAACCAATTCAAACACCCTTCAGTTGATATAAGCTCAGTTTTAAAAGCTATACTATACCTGAAGTGACATGTGGCTCCCTGGGGTTTCTCTGACCACCCTCATCGTCAGACTCCCCAGGAGGCAAACCTTCCACAACCTGAAAATTCCTGCCCTGTTTGTCCCAAACATGGTGGATCTGCATGGCTGCTTCACGCTCTGCTGCAAGGTCCAGGTCCTGCTGGGCCAGATGTGCCCTCAGTTGCCTGATCTCAAACTTAAGAATAAATATGAAGAGGAAAAACACAAATAAATATGGAAAGTCACACGGGGTTGTAGAAAAGGGTGAGCAAGTAGTTTGAGAAAGTGCAGGAACGTGAAAATTGAAGCCCGATAAAAAATTTGGAGAACAGCAAAACGAGACAAAAACAAAATAGAAGAAAGGGAAGAGAGAGGACAGGGAAGGATGAGGTGGTGCAGGAATAAGAGAAAAAAACAGGAAAAGAAAGCATGTTTCTGGAATACACAAAAGTAGAAACAAGCAAACATTTTTTATACAGATACTGTGAAATACTGTCTCCTTTTTTTTAAAGAACCAGAATTTGGTAATTGTCTTCATCATAATTGTGGGAGTGTCAGAGTGTGTTTCCATTTTCTTCCGCTGATCCGAATCAGGTAAGCAGGAAACATGTTTGTGATGTTTTGCTGCCCTCTTCTGGTGAGAGATCAACTTACAGTCGCTTTTGTGACCAAGAACAACGTGTATCCTTAATCAGTCCTTTAGTGCAGTAAAGAGTTTAATAAGGACAGCTAGATCCATGGCGTCTAAAGTTAAAATAAATGTTCTTCATTGCAATACAATGCAGTATGACTACATGCGCTATTAGCCAACACAAATTATTGTGCCTGCATCCAAGGTGCTTTTAAAGCTCTATTCTTGTCAGTTAATGTCCTTCGAGTTTTACACAGGCACTACTACAGAAAATGAGACCATCAAAGTTTTGTACTGTAAAGTCGCCATTAGAAAACCTTTCCACATCAATTAAAAGTAAGTAATGCAAAGTAAATCTCAGATGTGTTGGTACTCACAGCCTGCTCCTGACAAATCTGAGTGAGACGCTCCAGCTGCTCCTCTCTCACAGCCTTGGTCTTCTCACACTGCTGGATCTCCAGTTCCATTTCAACTTTGACTTGTAACACATACGCTAAAATTGGAGAGAAGGGTGAGAACGAGAATGGGCTGAAAATATTTGTAATGTATAAAGAGGCATTAAGACTTACTAACAAAAGTGTCACAGGTAACAGAGCTGGTTCGGTTAGTTAAGGCAATTTACATCAAGCACATCAAGGTCAGAGGGCAGAGATATTTCTTGACCCTGTGTCATTTGTTCCTAAGAACTCTGTCATCACACACACAACCTTTATTAATGCAATTAGTAACACTATACTGAATACTAAAGCATGAAACTAGATGCAAAAGATTTTGATCTGACTTAATGAGTCATAAAGTGTAAGTACATTCTCAGCCTATATTCAGTGCAAACATGTCACTGGACCTTTACAAAAACAGCACCTTAAAGTGAAGACACAACTCCATTGTGGTCCTGGAAACCACTTTAGATGCGAGGGTCTTCAAAGAACACCAAAAAACACAGGTATTTTGGCCTGACATTCAGACACTTGTGGTTAATGTCTTGCATCAATCTACCCTTCTCCAACTTATCCTGAGCAGAACAGTGAGCAGTAATTAGAAAATTAATCAAGCGCACATTTATTGTAAAAATGTCACAGACATGAATACTCAGTCTGTTTGCATGCTTATATCACTTAATGTGATAAAAACAGAAATGTGAAGCTTTAAGATTCTTTAAATAAATGCCACTATTGTGGCATGTGTGGTATGTTTCAATGTTTTTCTGATATAATTTTCTGAATGTGTACTTTTGCATGGCCAGCAGACGATCACCTTCTACTTCATCTTCATCTAATAAGAGTTTATTGCTGGAGTGTTGCTAGAATACTTTATTTGACCTTTAATAACTCTTGCTTTTCTGTCAGTCAGTAACAGCTCTTCCTATAATTTGTATTTTATTTATACATGACACACTTTGTGGAGTAGGACATGAAGGAACCTAAAAAAAGAATGGTGAGAATAATTGTGGACTGCTGCTGTCAACACAGTTGGAAGACAATCAGTCTTTTACACCTTTTTTTGTCACATTTGTAAGTCTGCCACATGATATCACACATGCTAATGCTGCGTATCCTGCAATGAGTGGCATAAACTTGTCAAATATAATCATTAATTCTATGGGACCTAGTCACAAGGACACACTAGGATTTTTCTGAACATGCTGAGATGACAATGAAACTAGGCCTTCTGCTACAGAGAGCAGCTGAGCAAAGCACACAGCCATCGCCACATGCTCCTTGTATCTATTTATAGTAATGTTGCACACGCGCACACACATCAAACAGGAGAAGACATTAGATGGGGTCAGTTCAGTCAGAAATCAAACCAGCATGAAAAGCTCAATCAGAGCTTCAATTATTTAGCTACACAATGCAATACATTTGTGTGGCACTGTGCATTTACAAGTTTAGCAGGGTTGGTTATGTGATTATAGTGTCTGTGCGTGCATGTGTGTGCCACAGCTGTGGTGACAGTTTCTGCCAGCACTTGCACAACAGTGTAATTCACACCACAATTAATCCAACAACTTCTCAGAGTCCAGTGTTGGTGGTGGTTTGATTGCCCTGGCCTCTGTCCCAGTGTCCCAGGCACTGAACCTAAAGGCAGGCCAGTGCCTTGCATGGAATTGGTGAATGCATGAAAAATAAACACATTTTCTAGAATTTTCTAGACTGTATGTCAGGTTACATGATGTAGAATAAGTGCATTTTAACACAATCAGTGCATGAAAACATCCACAATCCTCACAGATTCCTTGTGTATTGAAGCCATAAAATCAACTCTCTCTCCAATCTGCTACACCCAAAAGTTACATTTCTTTTTTTTAATTACATTTCATTATATATTATGTACACACTATATACATATGCTTTGCTCAAGGTGTTGCATAATAGCTTGTTGGATTTGTATTTTACAGACGTTTATCTGTACTACAAATTTTCGTATCAGAGGTCAATGCAGAAAATCAAAAACATCTTATTAGGCATTTATAATAAAGTATAGATAATTCATATTCAGTGATTTAAACCGACCTCTAGCTTACTTTCAGCATGAAAAAATAGCAACTTAAACTTCCTGGTTCATTGTTAAGCAGTGTTCAAGCGCTGGTGAGTCGAACTGATAATGATGGAGATTTTTTTGTGTTTTTTGGTTGTTTTGTTTCTAGAGAACTAATTTCAAAGTTTGAGAGATTAACATTACCTGATGATCATGACAAATTGTGGTGAAATTCACTCTTGCACAAACTTTGCCACTTTATATTTCAAACTCTTTTTTTCCAAAGATTTGATGACTGTCATGTGATAACTGAGCCAGTCCTTTAACTTTATATTTTTGGGGTTGAGTTCACTTTTTTCCCTAGTAGTTTGAGGTGCGGCAGGAAAATCACATGCTCCCTCCCTAGAAATCACGTGAGCAGCTGCACGTTAATGTTAACAAAAACAAAGAAATAGAGTGTGTGGGTGTGTGTTTCCCTAAACTCTGTATTAAAGCTTTGTAGAAAACAACAGACACATATTTACATTAAAATACTGGACGTGGACGAACTGTACACTGAATTCCTATGTGCTCTGCATGCACCTCATCCTGTATGCATTCAGAGATCCGTCATGAGGGTGACCTCTGAGCGGATATCGAACCAGTCTATATTAGCATAGGAGAGAACAACCACTATATTCATTATGGCTTCTGTGAATCTACTTAGCTAGACGCTTGCAATCAATACAAGTTAGAGTAGCAGAGTGGAAGCAGTTTACTCTGAGGAATGATCAATAGCTGTATTGTTCTGAATCGCAAATAATTTGTATAATCATGGAAAGAATGGGGTCACTTAGCTGCATCTGTGTGACCCCTTTGAAAAAAAAAGAAGAAGACCACTGGCATGCTGTGTGAATTTTATGTGTCACTTTCAAATTTCTGGAAATTGAGTCTGGATTTTGATGGAAAAAGAGTTTTTGTCTGCCTTACCATCAATGATCCTCTTGACCCTCCAAATGCGTAGTGTGATGATGAGGCTGATGGCGTCCCAGGGGCTGCTGGGCCCATTGGCCACTGTGGATGCCACCATTGGGGCCAGGGACAGCACAATAACTGCACCATCAAACACCTTTTTGGGACAAAAGTAAATACAGAATTAAAACAAGTTCAGCGTACGAGCCATAACTCCAATCCGTTAACCCTCAACCCCTGACCCCAGTTCTATGGTCTTGATTTAGCGAGAGTCAAATATAATATTTATATGTGGATTTTATTCATGGATGTATGTAGTTTTTTGCTTCAGAGGAATATTTTAACATTTTGGTAAAGTCCTTATTTACCTAATTGAATTCTATCTGAGGTTCAGTTGACATGAACAGATGCGATCACAAACAAAAATAAAAATACCATGCCTTAAAGCGACCTCTTACGACTCTCGACTACTTTTAGATCGCTCCCCGTAAGTCACTTCTAACTACTTTCAGTGCACTTGCATTTTCACCATGGACCTCAACAAACAAACAGAAAGGAAACTGTGGCTCCAACAAATTACCTTCAGTGTAATGTGGAAGCTGCAGATTTCAATGAAAAAAGTCCCAGAACAGCCAGAAATGTGCACTTCATTTTCTTCAAAATTAATGGAATTGTGCCCCATGAACTCCTCCTCCAGTGTCATACTGCCAGCATTAAGTTCAGTAAGATTGCAATAAAGGACACCCAATTTTTTGGGACACACCAACACAATCATTGTATATCACCCACTTTATTCACTAAAATCAATTCCCTGTGACTCCTTTTTTTCCCAAAAATTTAAATTGAGTTAAAGGTTATCGATTTTAATGCAGGAATACCAGCAGCTGCAAACACACGACAGCAAATAACTGGAATAGGGCATCCAGTGAGAGATTAGTAATAGCAAAGGATGCTATATTTTGATCTGTCGCAAATGACGCGTTGCTCCACAAGAAGATTGCATTAAAGAGAATAACCACACGCTATCAATTTTTCGTTTTTAACGTTCTGATCGTACTTCTCATCTGTCTACCAGAAACTGGCTGACACAGCTTAGCACTGCTGGTGAAAACAGATAGCAGGCTGTGGCCCTGTCAAAAGGTTCAAAAGTTGTCACATAAGCATGAGTCAGTGCTGCTAACAACCTTTTTATATCTCGTTTATTTTTGTATGGTTGGTATAGTTTTCTTACCTCGGGCACAACCAGCTATTTTCAAATGTTTCCAGTGTTTCTGTTAACCTCCAGCTAGTGAGTTTTTAGCATGTAGAAATGTCATGTTTACCTTGATGTTATTATGTATACAATCTTTCCATCAACCTTCATCAAGAAGGTCAATAAGTGTGTTTAAGTGGGAAAGGTCAGTATGGTCATACCATGCAAGAACCGGAGGCTAAATTAAAAATAATAAAAATAGAAAACATTAAAAATAAATATTCAGATTAAACTGAATTAAACATAATATACTAAAATCTGACATGAAGATTTGCCGGTATAGCAGTACTAACCTCAACTTTGTTTTCTATGTAGTCCCAGATCCCAAGAACAACAATTCTGAAGACAGTCTGAGGCACACAGAGAGATAAAGGGATATTTTGAAATGAATAATTGAGGCAGCATGCTGATAGATGTGAAAGACTCCTTTAAGTCATGTTTACATCCAAAAATTGCTAATTTTCTCAGTGGAGGTATTTAGTTACTGCACTACATGATACCTTCCACTGATAATACTCTGTGGTAAATCTGTTATTGCATAATTATTTCTGTTGATGGAAATATGGCATGAAATTTGTGAAAACACATACACACGTATCAAATTCTACTTGTGCTCTGGAAAATGTGGCTGGCTGCAGTACACTGTTAAGCAGGGACATTGATTTACACTCTAATTAGCTAGAGGTGGTCCTGCTAATCCATCATCTGGAGCACATGTTAGACAATAATGCTGGTATCAGGTGAGACGAGCAGCTGCTCCGCCCACATGTAAGAATTGTGTTTTCTGATTGGTGCAGGGGGACTGGCTGGTGCACCTCTTCTTCTGTGATGCCAGTGGGTGCCCTGTGTGCATGGATCACATCACTGTAACCCCATCCCCACTGCTCTGTAAGCTCAGCTTTAATTATTGCTCATGCTGGCTCACCGGTAATTAAAGTTTGGGTTAGGGCATTGGGGCTGAGGCTGTCAGGGTAATTGGTTTGCACTGGAGTGGAGGCCTCTAGGCCATATTCTCCTCTTTATGTTATTTTCATAATCACAAAGTAATGAAAAGACATTACTTTATCAAACAATGGCTTAAATCTAATTCTGATTCTGCTTCCAGGTAGCATTTTTAAGCTATAGCTTAATCAAGACTAGACAATATTGGAATATAAATGGTAGCAACTACCTACTCTAGTTCCCTTAGGTTTGAACCTGGTTTGCAGATATGGAGGTGTTACATAGTTTAGCTGGTTTAATTTAATTGCAAATGAACAAGAAAAGTGAGATCTTAGTGAATCTTTGCAATTTAAACGTTCTGTGATTATTACGTTGGCCCAAGAGCAAAGATTTCGGAAAGTAAAAGAGATTATGTTAATGATGGAACCAAAGTGTGACGTAATTGAGAATAATATACAGATCTTACCTCTGAGAAGAAGAGTGACAGAATGATAAGGCTGATCCAGTGGATAATGCTGGCAAATTGGAACGCATTGGAAACTATTTAGAGAGGAAACAGAATAAATGTTTATTTGCACTGTCCTTAAGGTGCACAGTGTAAGAAAACTAATTGGTGTAATCATGTCCATCCATTAACTCACTGTGCTACCAGCATACCCACTTCCTATACTACTAATATGTTTCTGCACTCTCTTGCCCAATCCCATGTTATTGCCCATCTGCTATTTCTCTTGTGGGGCAGGTAGTGGACTTGAGAACTAGATTACAATAGATCTAAAGTGACTAGAGTCCTGCAGTCCCCACAGCGAGACTCAAGTATCAACAGAGCTGGACGCTGGCCAGTAATCGATGAGGATGCCTGCCTGCTGCCACTGACAAGAATCTTGGTTCATTATCACCTCTATCCATCACTCTCCATCATAACCATTTATTGTCCAGCTCCACAAGTTGTTTTTGTAGTAGGACTACACAAACAGCGAAAATGCGCACAAAATACAGTTAAATGTGGACATTATCACAAGAAGTTCAACAGAAAATTACTAATAGTTTCAATGGCACCTACAATAAATGTAATGGATCTTTACAGGGGTTATTTTTGTTGTTTTTTTTTTTTTTTTTTTTAATAAATTACTATACATACTGAGGTGAAATAGTATAAGAGCCAGATTTCAGAGTTGCACATATTGTGTAACCGTAAATTTCTACAATATGTGACCATGACTGTAAATACAATCTAAGTCATATGCATTTATTTTAATGGAAAATTAGGTCTTTGTAAACAGCAGCATGTATTTTCATAATGGCATTATTGGAAGATATATTGAGAGGCTTTATTTGATCAAAAGCACAGATACAACAAGCGAAAGTTCAATATAAGTAAAAATATCAAGTATCTGGTACAGGTACTTATTCTGTAGAAAAATAACTCCTATTATAATATCATAGCTCTTTATAGTAATATGGAAGAAGCCCTTTTCTTTTGAAGCTCAGTAAAGTGAAGATAGTTTCAGCTTCTTTAAATGCATTATTTACATTACTTATACTTCTGCTTGACCTTAAAAGGGTTCCCTTTAAAGACATTTAGGCTGCAAAGCAGCGATGACTGCCCAGGTTGATGTATAGAGAAAGTCCAGTGTAAACAATAATGAAAAAAACACCTTATATATTTCTGAAACTATATTTCCTTAATGTGATCCTAGCAGAAGGTAGGGCACAGTGCAGACACAGCATCAGTGTTTAATTCTCGAGGACACTAAACTGTTTAACTCCCCACTGCTCCAGTGGAGCTGCTACTATATGCCTCCCAAGTGTTTTATGAACGTCACACTGTGTATTAATGGATAAGAATATGCATGCTCAGCAGATTTTTCCTTACATAATAGTACCGGCTAAAACAGGACAAATAAAAGCACACTGTTTACATTGTAAGAGTTTGGTGTCTATGAGCAGCTCCAAAGACAGGAAAAGCACCACCAGGATAACGCAGGCCACCAGGATGCAATTGAAGCCAGCACTGAGCAGACAGACCTGCCACAGGGCCACTCGACGCCCACAGCACGGCTTCAGCCAGTTGGACCTAAAGGGACAAGGAAGGGGGGGATATTTTAATGCAACGTAAATTTCAACCAGCATTTACGATTTTAATTTAAATACCAAAGCAGAGTCAGAAGCTTGTAAAACCACAACCGAACCCTTAATAAAAACCACTGCCTTTTTTTTTGGGTCTTTATCAACTTTATTGTTAGATTCAGTGAAGAAATGACAGGAAAGCGGGGTCAGAGAGAAAAGGGGGAAGACAAGAGGCAAAGGGCCACAGGTCGGTCTCAAACCCAGGCCCATGGGCACCCGCTCAATGCACTGAGCTAAACCAGGATCCAAAGCCACTGACTTTTTGACTGTGTAGATTTATCCTTTTATCTACTTTAACTGTTTAATGTACACGGTAGAAATGAAAATTTAAGTTTAAAAAAAGCACAAAATAAAGTACTGATATGTGTACATATCATGTTTATATATACCATTTAGAATTGCATTTCTGACTGCAGAACTCTCTGTGACTGATTGCATGACCCCAGTAATTATATTTCAGTAGGTATATGAATATGAACAGCTGAACTCCCCGACATGCCCAAGAGAGGGTGGTAGTTTACACTTATGAAAGGTGATGTCTGTTTAAATCTGGCCAAAGTTTGGTAGTGATGGCCAAAGAAAAGTGTACTCAGAGGGAGCATTGACAGAGAAAAAGACAGTGAAGCTCTGTGAACTAGTGTTCTGACCATCAGCAGTGTGAGTGGAATACTGATGGCCTCCTTTTTATATGGGGATGAAGGGAGTCACTGTAGAGGATGCTGCTAAGAAGGAATGATTTCACATGTTTAGCTTGGGACATAAGTTAAATGTGGTGTGGCATGAAGGGGAAAAAATGTAATTAATTTTAATAACCCAGTGTCTGTGGCCTATTTCTTTGGCTACGGCATACAGGTTTAAATAAAACATCAATGTTACTGTATAGAAAATGATAGTCTGTCATATAATTTAAAAACAGACAGACTGGTTTATGTTTAAGATAAAATGACAGATTAACATTTCAATACATTTCAGACTAAGCTTTATTTTCACTGTAAGAAATCAGCATTTAGGCCACTAGTGTGTCTGGCGAGATAGCCTAATTCTATTTTGAAATAGTGGGATGGTCATACAGATCAGCTACTACAAGGGCTGACAGGAGCTGAGAGAAACAATGCCTTTCACCGGCTCTCCAGCTGGTATGGAAAGTTGGCACTGCCCACCACCTTTCCCTTCTCCCCATGCTCTGGCATAGAAGAGGCAGACATTGGCAGAGCATTTCCCTCCTCTGATCATGTCTTCATTCCTTGGCATGCCACTAATATGAGCTGCAACGGTGGCAAAATGGCTCCATTTTCACCATAGCTTCAAAATGAATTTGCTATATTCATCACAGAAGTCATATCTAAACTCTCCACTTTCCCTGTTTTAAAATGTTGGAGGAATTTCTGTCTATCCTTGAAATTACTTCTTTTAAATGCTGTGTTAGAAGGGATGATATTAATGAACTCTAGGAGTACTTGAAGCATAAAAGTCCATTTTTATCATCTACTACCAGAAATCTTTGAGGCAAGTATATAGTGTATACTATATACTCACTTCACACGTATTTTTGGTTATCCGATCAAGTGCAAGTGTTGAAACAGAACCTGCAAAATTATTATTCACAGTAAAATCAAGAATATCCCTTAAGAAGGAAATCCTAACAAAAGCATTTTCAGAGGGCCCCTCTTTATAATTTCCTCCCGCAGTGGCACGTTTACGTAGCAATGAGGAAAATGTTTTTAGCAGCTGTCGAGCTGATCACTCCACCCCCCCACTGCTTTCTCACATAAAAGTATTCCTTACAGCCTGGCATGGGTAGAGCCACAAGTCTGTAAACAATGCACGGCTAATGTAATAAAGGCATAATCATGCTGATAGCAATCATCTTCTTGGCACTGGGTGGGGTGGCACAAGTGCGAGAGCTCCAGATGGTGTAAAATCTGCACCACCAGTCTTGCAGAGACTCTGTGGATGCCAGGTATGATGCCATTATGTGTATCAGCCTATATTCCAGAACACCTGGGCATCCTGCGATAAGAAAATATTGATGTATTTGTGATGCATATTTTTAATACATGTGCTTTCAGTTGTTTTGGAGTTAGTGTTAACACCTTCAAGGCCATAAAGTTTCTCAGAGTTAGAGAGCTCAAATCACAATGTGCAAAATAGGAAATTGACAAACTGATTAAGCTTTTGGAGATTTTGCATAAATATACATCATAATCTGACACGCTGAGCAAATTATCTAAAGAAAATTTTTGTGCAGTCTTGACCAAACTCAATCAGGGACCCACAGTTGATTTCACTTATCCTGTGTAACTGATTTGATCCTTGTTACTTACCATGGCTAAATATGCAGTTACGAGAGAAAGAAAGTTTTAACAAAATTCTGTGCAGACATGTGAACAGCCAAGTACATTTCATTATTCAATATCCTGTAGCACCACCGTTAGTTAGCAATCATTTTCTACATGAATTTATACATTTCTTACATTGTTATGGAGGAATTCCTGCTCGCTCTTCTTTACAACATTGCTTCAGTTCATTGAGGCTGGTGGACATTCATTTATGTACAGTTCTCTTAAGGCCCTATTACACCTATACCCATTCTGTTGTAGCTTTGCTGCTGTGTTTGAGATTATTGTCCTGTTACACGCCCTAACTTTGGCCAACCTTCAACTGGTGGACAAATGGCCTCAAATTTCACATTACCACCCCTGCACCACCGTGCTTGACAGCTAGTATAAGGTGTATGAGCTGATATGCTGTGTTTGGTTTTTGCCAAACATGACACTGTGCCTTATATATATGAAATATTTTCACTTTGGTCTCATCTGTCCTAAGTAAGTTGTTCCAGAAGTCTTATTATTATTATATTATTATTATTTTTGTAGGGTCTACCTTACAGTATAAAGCGCCTTGAGGTGATGGTTGTTGTCATTTGGCGCTGTATAAATAAGAATTGAACTGAATAGCATACAAGAGAAGTGAATGTAATAGCAATTAAGTACACTACAATAAGAACAAAAAAGGCTTCCCAAAAAGTGTTAAACCTAAAGTAACATAATGAAACTGAGCTAAAGAAGCTGACAGAGAAAGCTCAGTTGACAGAACTGTTTTTTACTTGGTCTGTTTGCAGTTAAAACCAAAACAGACAAACAGAACTTGCTCTTGTAGCAAACAAATATTATCTCCAAAACACTGATCCTTGTGTGTTAGTTTCTTCCATGCAATGCAAGTTTTTCTTCTAGCAACCTGTGCACTGCTGCTCATGTTAGGTGTATACAATGCAAAGCAACTATTCTTTTAAAGTTTGAAGGTCGATCTTACTTTTCATCACTATATTTGTTTAAAAAATGAAGAAAATATGTATATATGTATATATATATAAATAAGCAATGAAACAAAAAAAACAATGACAATAAATCTGCAGCAGATTTTGCAATTAAATTTTTTTTAAAAGCTTCTCTTCTTTTATGAGTCAGAGATGTATCTCTTGTTTGTATGGGGGTTTTTTGCAGTTCCTCTGGGCAGTCTGGCCTTGAGGTGAATTTGCTGGGATATTTACTGAAAATTGTGGCATTGTGTTAACACACACCTGGTCCAACAGCAGCAGCAAGGGTATATATAGTTTGCACGAAACTTTCCTTTCACATGACTGTATCGTTATGCAACTTCTTTACCATGATTTGCTGAAGCTGAATTTATCCAAACTTGTTTCATTTAAAGTAATTATTAAATAATTATAAGTACAATAGATTCTTGTCAATTCAAGCAATGCAAGTAAGGTATAGTTTTGAAAGGATAAACAAGGCCTTGTCAAATCTAAAAACAGAAATAAATGAAAATATACCAAAGTAAAGCAGTCTCTCTCCTTTCATCTCAGACAGTGCTGTCATAAAGCTCCTCACCTGTCAATGTGTGCATCCAGCCACTACATTACTGCCGTCTTGTGGCTGGAGTCAGTTATTGGCTGAAAGCTGTGCTTATTTTAATCTCGTAAGAGACTGCAGCTCTCTCTGTTTTGAGTGTGTGTCTGTCTTCCTTTGACAATGACAATGATATAATGTTGTTATATCATTAACAACATTAACGTAAGAGCCTTTTTTTTCTGCACATGCAAGGCAAGTTGTCGCTGGGTCTGCTCTCAGTGCTGTGAGATCAGTTACGATCTGCACTTTTTGTAGAAACACAGCTAGCATAGCATAGCTAGTAAACCAGTTTCAGTGATTTATCTTTGTAACAGATGATTGTAACAGCTTTGCCCTGCTAACCACCTTGGCCAATTTGTATGATGTATACAAGATTAAATTTAACTCATTTAGTACATTAGTAAGGACAGTTTTGACAATGAATGGCGAGGGGATGGTACCTCTGATTATGTCCAGTCTAATAAACAGGCAAGGTGACCAAGTGTAGGGTCAGATTAGCATCTATGAGAATCTCTAAGTGTAATAAGTTTAGCAAGCTGCTTTGCCAACACTCCACGTTTGTTTTTCATTCATATTTTAATCCACCCGTACATACTGACAATTAACCATGTCACACTCTACAGCAGGTTTTTTGTTGTCAATATTTCAATATACTTTTTTTAAAATCGAGATGAACAACTGATCTTTTTCAGTGATCCAATTTATCTTATTAAATAGGTAAATAGTAGATGCTTGTGTGTACGGGGGTGGGGGGTGGGGGTTCTGGTTTCCTGTCTGTGAAAGTCACCGTCGTAAGCCATAGTTTGAAAAACTACTCCATGCCTTCAAGTCAATCCAGACATGTCTCTGGTGGAAACAAACTCGATTTCGAACTTTTACCATAGGATCTGACGGTCCATAAAAGTGCATCAAATGATTTCATGCTTCATCAAACCTCTGCAAGGGGGTAAAAATAATAAGAAGAAAAACATTACAAGTACTATAAAACTCTTTGAGGGGGAGTAGTAAAATGAAGTGCAGAAAAATGAAATAT